TTATGTGAGAAAAATCGTGCCTATTATGATGTAAAAGAAACAGGTTCATCTTTGATTGACAGTAGAAAACTATAAACTTAGTCTAATTTTGGCAGTTTTGCAATGGCTGCCGAACTTTCTTTAGACTATGTATGAGAAAACGTGTTAAAAAATATCGTTTTACTTTCCCTACGTAAACTATCTTATTTTCATAATATTGCAAAGATTTGTACCACTTGTACTTACCAGTTTTTTTATAAAGTTATTACCAGTTTTTTTATAAAGTTATTACCAGTTTTTTTATATAGTTCTACATCATTCAAAAATTACACAATTAAACTATATTTGTTTTTCATAATACAAAAATACCTAGGGTTAGGTACACAAAAAAATTTCTATGCTCGTAAAATCTGTTCAGAAATATAATAATATAATTATTATTAACATTTTTAAGATTTTTTTTATATACATGGTTTTCCGAACACCAAGGAGATTAGTTGGAGTTAAAAAAATATACAAACTTTTTTTGAGTTTATACTTGAGGTTTTTAAAACTGAATTTTATTTTTATTATTAAATTTTCTTCGTTTATATTGTATTATGAATAACGTTTTTAAAGTAAAAATTCTAATTTGTTAATAAGGCTTTGATTTTTTTGACAAAAAATGTTACAAAATACATCTGTCATCCATGTCAACCTCAGCCTTATTTAAATGGTTTCCATAAAATAGTACATTATAGACTAGGCGGAGATAGCACATATTTTTGCCGAGACGACAGACGAGGCAGTAGATTGTTTGCGACGCAATTAATAAGCTTTCGCCGCCGTGTTTTATATACTATTTTTTTTAAACATTTAACTAAATAATTTAATAAGATTCTGTAACATCATACAACTGACATAATGACATTTTAGCTTTATTTCTGTACGGAGTTTAATAATAATTTGACTTTTAATTAATATAAAGTATTTCTATGTAGACTTTTAGAGAAGACCTAAAAAAGGAGTTTTTTCAAGGCATAAGTCTAATTATTAAAACATGCATGGGGGTTAAATGTATTGTAAAGAGTTTTTAATCTTGTTTTGCAAAATCCTTTTACACCCCACATGAATGTTTATAAACAAATTTGTTTACCCAACCCACAAACATTCTTAATGTGAAGAAAAGCATTTTCTAAGGTTTGTATTGCTCACAGTACCCCAGTAGCACAAAATATTGGTCCTATATGGGAATAACATAGACGGTACACGACTTGTCTGATTGTTAAATTTTTTCAAAGAATTTGGAGGGTACATTTTATATCAAGTAACCCCCCTCTTCCCCTTATCATTTGGGTGGTTATTGTTACCCCCCCGCTTCCTCACCCCTAAGTACTTACTATAAAAATTTCCTGAAAATAAACGTTTGTCGACACGATCGTGACATATATATAGTAGTAGGATTTCTAAAAGTGATATCACTTTTAGAAATCCTACTACTATAGTACATACCTATAGGTGGCTATCTTTTTTTTCTTTTAATTTCTCCCTGAACTTTCCTAGAATATAATGTAAAATAACCTCAAGCCAATGTGGATTTTCAATATCTGTTATATAATGTCAAACAATTTCGGGCCAATGCATTGCAATGTTGGGTTTCAATATTGGACCATGCTAGAAAAAATCTGACGAAAGATATATTGGCCCAATATTATTACGAATATTGGGCCAATACCTTTGTGCTACTGGGATACTGCCAAATGTGAAAGATGTCTTCTAAATTTCTTTCTGCAAGACATCAGAAAAGCGTCTTACAGAAATCTTTTGTTGGTGCTTTCTGAGTTATTAAAACGTAATTTAAAGAGGATTCGGTTTCCAAATTTGGCGCCCGTAAAATCTGCCGCCCTAGGCTCAAGCCTACTAAGCTTGCTGGTAAATCCGCCACTGCTTTGGTTCTTTTAAACTACTTGTCGAAAAAAAATGTAATTATAATTGTTTTTTTTCGAAAATGGAACTCTAAAAGTTACAAAAAAGGGTATCTTTGTAAACCATGAACCTGTCAAAACCAAAAATCTTTATGATGTTGTCATTCCCGGGAATTTAAGAAAATGTGAGTTTTACATGCAAGTCCAATTTAGCGGCCATCGATAAACAAAAAATGTTGGTGGTAAGTCAAAATATAGCAAGCGAAAAAATCACAAATCGGATAAAAATGGAGATAAATGTGAAACTTATTTTTTTCCTAAATTCTCAGGAATAACGAGTTTTTGTTTTAACGGGTTTTTACATTTTGTCAAATTGTGTGAGAACCGCTGTTTTTTTTAATTACGCAACTTTTCTCCAATTTAACCAATCAATTAACAGGATTTGCTTTTATTCCTTCCCGGTCAAGCGCTTTACCGCTAATTAGTCATAGAATTCCATTCAAGTTCAACGTTTACTATTGACCCAGAATTTGCGTGCCTTAATTTCACTTTTACTCTGTATCGTAATTATTTAACCATAGTTGCGATATAAACAAAATTTTAAACACACAAAACGGTTGCGTAACAATGTTCTTACGGCTTTAGAAAAAAATCGCCGCTCCAGTTTGCCTGTCGCTGTTTTGATCAATTAAGCACGGAACCTTAATTTTTATATTTTTGTGACTGATTTTTTAAACCTTTTGCATAATGAAACTATAAAAATATTGTTTAGCATTTTGGCCAAATAGCAAAAAAACTTGAGATCGATTTTAATTTAAACTTAAAAATTTTAAAATTAATAAAATAATAACATCAAAAAAATTTAATTTTTTTTATTCAAGGGATGTGCCATTTTTTATATAAAATCTGATTATTTAATTATTTGTATATGTTAAAAAATAATTTATGAAATACCTTTGTTTATTATATTACGCTTACTTATTGCATAAATATTACAATAAATTTTCACATGTCGTGTAGTACATAAACAAATACAATTTTTAATATTAATTTAATTTAAAGTTCATGAAGATATAAATGTATTGCATCAAATTATATTTCACCATGTAAAAAATCTTAAAAAATAGGCCAATTATGTATGGTAAATTAATTGGAAATAATAATGAAAGTTTTTGATATTATATGTTATATTTTTTTATTTTCCTTAATAAAATATCAATATTATTAGCTTTAGCGCAGCCCTTAGAAATTATTCATTATTGCTGTACCTACTACAAATATAACGTTATTTTCCAAATACAATAATGATATACATGAGCGTATACGCCTATAGACAGGTCGAAAAAAAAATATTTTTTTACCCTATTTCATTCATATTATCTCCGCCTATGACTTCGGAGAAACATCTGTGTCCTTCATATTAAGTTAATATTTTTTAGTTTTTGTTAGAAGATATAATAGTATATGTTACTAATGAAAAAACCTCCTAGGCTGTAAAACTAATTTTGACCAATCGGGTAAAGTTTTTTTTCTTCCAAGTCTGTAAAAAACCCGTTTGAATCAATCAAAAAATTCGACTACTGTCAGATCTAATGTAACCTTACTTTATACATTCATGACATAAATAACTATTATACTGTGATTTTAGTCTAGGTTATAACATCGAAATTTTTCATGGAGTTTGTCAAATAATTATAGATAATTTTCTATAAATCAATATTAGCCTTTTTAAATTTTGCATACTTTGTATTTGTAAATAATTTTGATGTTTACATGTGACTCCATGACAGGTTGGTAATTGACTAGAGAATATATGAGGACCCTAGAAGCCCAGGGTATAAGTACATTTTGTTTAGTTTTGAAATATTCATGTTTAAAGTAAGAAAATACTTGTAATTTGTAGTCAAAATTGTTTTGTTGTTTTATGACTTGGTTTTTTTAAATGTCTAAGCTTAAATATCTTTTTTATTATTTAATATATTGTATTTATACTCTCTAGTCAATTACCAACCTGTCATGGAGTCCCATATTTTATATAAATTACATTACAAAATATATAAAACTCTGTCAAGTTAAACTTTTTTAAATGATTTTATTTTTATTATTATTATTATTATTATTAGTATTATTATTATTATTGATAGGTAATATTATTAGAAGTTTTTTAAATTTGTTAAAAACGAAAATAGCTTTTGCTAAATAAATTTTCATAATTGTTATTAATTTCTGTCAAATTATGGTTATTTAAAATAATTTATTTAAAGAAACATTAATATTTGTAAATAGTTTTATATAGAAGATGATTTATGCAAAATTTAAGGTAGGTAGCCTTTTTTATTTATAATTTACCTACCTATACCAAATTATTTGAAATAGGTAATTTATTTTATATAAACCTTATTTATTCAAAAGGAAGCAAAATTAAACCATATTTTATGACAAATTAATTTAACTTTTTATAAACTATCGGCTATTGAAATCCTGAAGATATAACCTATAGACCACCATATATGCATATAGTTATAAATTGCATTGGTAAATTAATATTTAAAGTAGGAATTAAAATTTTATAACAACACAAATAATAATGAAAAATATAAATTTAACTTTGTATGATTTTTAAGAAGTAAAACATTTTCTAACAATTTAAAATTAAACGTGAGAGCACTTGGTGGAAAATGACTTCCTGCTCTGATTCTGATAAAAAATGTTTACTAAAATTTTATATAAAAAAGAGACAAGTATTTAAAAAAAAATGTAATATTTAATATAAATGTTAAAAATATAAATATTACCACTAATTAATAGGCACCATAAAATATTTCAAAATAAAATTATATAATTTTGTTCTAAAATGTTATATTAATTTTTTATTAAATATTTAATTAATAATATAAGTGTTTTGTTTTTGTTATTTTATAATTTTTAATAAAAAATGTACCTACTTTAAATATATTAAAGTGTAATTTGATAATAATTAAAAAATGGACACATTTTTAAAATAATAGTTTTAATTTTATATTCAAAAAAATCTTAACTTAAATTTATTTATTTATCTAATCATACATTTATGTATTTATCTAATCTAAACAGTGTAAATTATAAAAAAACACTTACATTAAATTTGAAATCTAAATGTATGCACTTTAATCCTGTGTTCAGTATCACACAAAACACGACAAACAGAGACTGGAAAGCTCCTTCTTCAGACGCCTTTTCTTATAAGTTGGAACAGCGGCAAGAGAAAGTACTTTAAACAGGTTAAAGCTTCAGCAATCCTAGTCTTTAGGATGCTGCTCCTTCAACCCTCTCTTTTGTTATGTAGTTATTATTGATTAAATTAATATAAATTTATCAATAAAAATGTATTCAAGCCAAATTATTATTTGGCGTAAATACATTTTTATTTTATTTAAGATATAGTTGGCAACAATATTTTATATTTTTTCTTTTAAATTAAAATGTTGAATACATTTACGATTTTGGATACATATGTGTGAATTTGTATACAAGCCTTGTATTACAAGGTATCTCAGTTTTTAATCGGTAAAATATTAAGAAGAGTTTACGAGGTGTCTTCAGAAAATATCGGGAATTTTCGTTTTGTGAAAAAAATATTTATATATCCGTCTACATTAATATTGTCGCTCTCAAAATAGTCCCCATTGGATATTATGCACATGTGCCAGCTCTTCTTCCAATACTCGAAACACTTCTAAAACTCGATCTTTGGGATAGCCTTTAGTTCTTTCAGCGATGCGTTTTTAATGTCATCGATGCTTGCAAAACGACGGCCCTTTAAGGTTCTCTTTATTTTTGGGAATAGGAAAAAGTCAGACAGAGGCATGTCTGGCGAATATGGAGGCTGGGGCATCATTACAGTATTGTTTTTGGCCAAAAATATTGTTCAAAATTTAACAATTTTGTAACAAATTTTGCTGCCACGCGTTTCATACCCAAAACATTCGAAAAAATTTCATGGAATGAGCCAATCGATATACCAACATCATTAGGGACTTCTCTGATGGTTTATAACCATTTCTTCCACTTTTTCCATGTTTTTATCGGTTGCTTGGGCGTTCGGGGAGTTTGTCATCTTCAACGTCTTCACGGCCATCTTGGAAACTCTTATACCACTTGTAAACTCTTGTTTTACTCATATCGGACTCACTATAGGCCGTTGTTAACATTTCACACAATTTATTTATTTTTTTAAGCAAAATTGGATACAAATTCTTTGATCCATTTCTTTTAACGAACGAAAATCGCCGAGCTCATAAAAACACGTCTTACCTTAGCGGCTGCCACAGACAAAGTAAATAATGAAAACAGCTAAAGTTTTTATCATACTTTGGGGCAGCGTTGCCAACCCACCGTGGAGAAAGAATCGTAACAAGTTCGTGAAATTATCGTATCGGATCGTATTCTACTTGAAAAATTATCGTATGCACGATCGTATCAGCCAAAAACTTAAAACTAGCTTTTATTTTAATAAAATCCACTAATGGTCGTTTTTTTAATCACTACGGGCCCATGATACTAACAATATACGGGCCAAAATTTGAGGTTATTCTGACATTATTACTTAAATGATGTGTTATGTGCGTAGACGGTTTAATAAAGACTACGGAGGACCGAGGTTACGGAGGTACAAACCATCACGACTTCTGTAAGGTGTGTAAAAGGTGTTAAACAAACACACAAAATACAAAGACTACAAACCATAGATGCATCTACATTCTACATACACAAGTCACAAATACACAAAAAAACTTATTCATAGAACTTATTTATCTGTCATTTTTGCATTGTTATCTGTCGATTGTCATTTGTGTGATTTTGTTTTTTATGCTACCATAGAAAATAGAATGCTGCCAACTGTCATTCTGATTCATTATATTTCTTTTTTTGTACAATGGCCTTTGCTCGGGACAGAGGTAGCCTTATTTTGCGCAGTTTTCGATAGAGGAAAATCCTGAATAATTATCGTATAATTATCGGATATCGTATAAGGAGAAATTACGATCGCATCAGACCTCGAAATTATCGTATAAAGTTATAAAGTGCTCTTTTAGTTCCACCCTTACATCCAAACTAAGATGTCCCATAAGCCAACTGAATGGCTTGTGCGGGTTAGGGGTAGGAACGGACCGACGGCTTAAAGTCCCCTCCGAAGGACTATACACAATGGACAAACACAAATAAACAACCATACCCAAGTGGGATTCGAACCCACGACCTCTCGGCTCGTACCCAGGAGCTCTGACCACTACACCACCGAGGCCGGTGGTGTAATAATTATCGTATCATTGGCAACGCTGCTTCGGGGGCATGTATACCAATATAATAAAGAAAATTGTATGACAGCCGGACCCTCCGAACCCGCGAAATTTACAAATTCCCTAGTTTTCTGAACACACCTCGTATATGAACTTGTATACAAGTTCATATAAACTGTTCTTATTGAAAGGCTTTGTTTTGGGGATACGGGTGGTAAAGTTATAAAAAAAAAATTTCAATTTTTAGTACATTTATCCAAAGATAATGATGCATTTATCCTCTTTTAAACCCCATAATATGAATTATATATACTACTGGACAAATAAATACATGTATATTACATTAAACTGATTTCTACTTTAAAAGCTTGAACAAAAATACCTAATGTAAAGATTATAAGATTATTTATTAATTATTTCTTATTATTATTATTTGTTATAATAATTATTATTACAAGTTTTGTATTTTTTTTCACAATCTAACTACTGTAATGTTTATAAATGTTTATAAATAAATTAAAATTCACTCAAATTATTCACAAATCTCACAACAAACCAGTGGCGGCTGGTGGATTTTGGGTATACCAATATTTCAGTTATAAGACATGGGACCCACACCAAATTTATAATAGTTTATAATGATATTTGGCGCAAACAGAATTTAAATTGAAGTTTGCGAAAAAAAGTTAGTTTTTCCTGTCGCCCCACCCGCCTCCAGGCCCCCCTATTTAAGATAATTCAAATTAAATTGGTGCAATTTATTATCTACTATAATTTATCGACAAATTTAAAATTTTATTTAAAAAATCCAAATATTACAGGTTTTATACCATTTTAAATATTTTTTTATTTTAATAAAATAAATAATAAAAATTTAAAATCGAATAAAATCTGTAATATTTGGATTTTTTAAATGAAATTTCAAATTTGTCGATAAATTATGGTAGATAATAAATTGCACCACTTTAATTTGAATTATCTCAAATAGCCCCCCTGGGGGAGGGTGAGGCGACAGGAAAAACTGTTTTTCGCAAACTTCAATTTAAATTCTGTTTGCGCCGAACTTGTTTATTTAATGTCATTATAAATTTGATGTGGGTCCCATGTCTAATAACTGAGATATTGGTATACATAAAATCCACCAGCTGCCACTGCAACAAACAACCCGGGCCACAGCGGTGCCAAGAAGACACTTACTTAGCATGAAACTTTATCAATGTTTGGGTGTTTAGTTTAGTACCTATTACAAGGGATTGTTGTTTTGTTTGTGATTGTGAGTTAGTTTTGTTGGTTAGAAAGATTTTAGTACTTTTTATTAACTTTATTTATTAACAAGAATGACATTTACCGAAAAACAAAATGTTATTAAGATTGTTAGATTTACCCCGGACTTAAAAATCGTGCAGCAACAAAAGAAAACTTCTCGATATTTCAATAAAAAAATCTACAATTATAAATGGCTCTGCTGGTGTAGTCATAAAAATAAAATGTAATGTTGGCAAAAAATGTTCGATTTTGTTGCACTGCGCTGCACGCCACTAGTAACAATTTTTTTTAAATTTTGCAAAAAAAATAAATTAGAGGTTGACATAATTGACAGATGTATTTTATTGTATAAAAATAACTTTTATCCGAAATCGGCAGTAAAGTAGTCAAAAATCGGCAGTAAAGTAAAAGAAATTGGCAGTAAAGTAGAACTTTACTGCCGATTTAAGATGTGTCTACTGTTCCTCAGCAGCAACTAAATAATATTCAAAAAAAGCACCGTCGCGGAGGTCGATTGGACCCTTTCATAAAATGTTGTTTAATAAAAATAATATTTTAATTTTTGATTTGATCATTAAATGACATTTGATTTAATTATCAATATTAATTATTTGTATTATTTCGGATAAAATTTAATATGCACCTCGGCATTAAAGTCATTTTTATCACTCACGTGGTTATTTCCACATTAGTGATAAACTTTACTGCCTTGATACATAAATAACTATTATATCCGTTTTAAAATTTTCTCAACATTTTTAGTAATAATTATTGAATTATTTTTAAATTAGGTATACAGATTTCGAAAAAATGTTGTTTGATACTCGATTGCGATATTCTTTTGCATTCTCGAATGATTTTTTTTTGTTCGCTATCACCCAAACTTTCATTTTCGAATGCAAAGTGTCATTTCGCAATCCATGGATTGCGAAATGCAGCATTAAAAATAACTATTTTATATTTTTTGACATCTGGGTGAGAAAAAAATGGTAATGCGGTGATAAAAATCGCGCGCGCTTGCAGATGAGAAATCTAAAGGCTGCAATCCTGAATAAACAATAAAATGGCGACTTAAAATACTGGATTTTTTTTAATTTTACAGAAAAGGTATTTTATCGTAAGTAATATCATAAGGGCATTTAATTTTTCCGAAAAGAATCGAAAAAACACGTTGCTAAGTAATATTTTAACAAAAAGCATGAGTGCTGGTGGCAACAAAAATCCGAGTCGAAGAGGAGGATTTTTGCACCTGCACGAATGCATTTTGTTAAAAAATATTACTTAGCATTGTGTTTTTTCGATTTTTTTCACAGGAAAAATTAGATGCCCGAATGGTATTTGACAAGACTATTTCATGAGTAACAGTTAACAATTAAAATATAAATTGCAATGTTTGGTGACAACAGCTGTCAAGTTTTGCCGCGGGTAAACTCGAATAAACTGCTGACAGGTGCTGTCACACAGTTTTTTCACCTAGAAACCATTTGTAATTCAAAATTGCGCGTTTGTGATTGGTGGAAATTAAGACGAGGGAAATAGTCAACGTTAACACCTTAGGGGACATCCATTAATTACGTGAGGCATTTTTCTGATAATTTGGACCCCTCCCTCCCCCTTGGTGAGATTTGGTGAGATGTGGTAGACCC